TCCCGCATGAAGCACTGCCCGAGGCAGCAGCACGGCGTCGCAGCCCACTGCGGCTGCGAGCGAAGAGGGGAGGCACCCGCCCACCAGTGGCGAGCAGATGGGGGGACTTCAATTGACGACCTCAGCAATCGCCGTGACGTGGCAATCTCAAGGTGCAGAGAACCGTGATCAGTTTCGCCTGTGCGTCTCGACAGTCCGCTGATAAGCCGCAGATGGCAGCAGCGCGCGAGCGATCTACACGTGTCCTTGTGCCTGCCCGCCCGACGCCAGGTCAGGCCAGCCCTCGGCCATGAGGCACAATGCTCGTACGAGACAGTGCGAGCAGCCCGCAATTCTTGGCACTAACGCAAGACAAGAGCAATCCCCCCCATGTGGGGTCATCTTCGAGAGCGCAAAGAACAGTGAGTCTCCGTCCTTCTCGTAGCTTGTGGCCACCCGCCACCCGTCTCGGGACGGCATCCGGGCCGATCGAGCGCGTCGTTCTTAGGTGTTCTTAGTTCTGCTTGTGGCCGCAAACCTGTGCCCTACGCCTGGCGGATCTTGCGCACCTCCCTATCCGAATGGCCGTGGCATTCGGCGCCATGCGACATTCTTGGCAGCGCACCAGACACAACAACAGTGTCGGACAACCGTAGAAGCGACTTGCGAATTTTGCCCATTTCTCGCGGGAGTTGTCTAACGGAGCCAGGAATTACTTAGCACGCTATGTAATTCGAGGACAAACTGGTTGAATCGTCGGTTCCTAGATTCGTGGCGATCTCGACAGTAGGGCCAGCCAGGCCGCAGAGTAACGGACGACGCTCAACCGACACTTGATTATAATATCAATGACGTCGACTTTGGTGCGAGAAGCCCCATACCGCAACTCGTCGACGGAGCCCTGTGCAAGCCCATCAAGGCCTCCACGAGCCCATCGAGGACCGTGGCAGGGGAGCCCACACAGGGTGGCCCTGAGTCGTCAACGTATTTTGTGGTCAAGGCCAACAGCGGGAAACCACTTGTCTCCGCCGAGGGGCCAAATCGAATCAAACTGGCTCTCCCAAGCGTGGCGGCGAAGCTACACGGAGCAATCACTCCCAACTGGGCGAAAACAGGCCCTGCCACCTATGGAAGGTGGTCTCATCTATCCGGCACTTGGCATCACGAAGCGTGTTCGGACACAACTGGACCATCCACAAAAGACCCTCCGCGAGGCATTCTCGCAACAATCGACACAAGCAGAACGTGTCCAATACCTTAGCCATGTCCCACAACATCGTCCCCGAGACCTGCCCAGTCGAAGTTCACGCTTCCCTAAGTACGAAAGGGCACGAGACAACCGCCACTGTTTCGCAGAGCCCCTTCTGCACCTCCCTGGCGACCCATAAAGAGGAAGCAGGAAGACCGATTGGGCGCCAGCCTCCAAGGGTCTTCAGCACAAGCAGCACTGGGACACATCGAACGCGACGGGAAAGGGAAGCGAGGATTTCAACCAATGGGAACATCAAGGCAGCCGCTTCAAAAGTTTATTTCGACTGGCTAGGCCGATTTGGTCAGGTCGTTGCCAGACATTCTTGGAAGGGCAGGCGACATGCCCTCACAGCGTCGCTTGCTGGGCGGGCTGGCCGACGCCTGCCGCAACCTGCTACATTGCGCAGACTCGCTTCTCACAAGGGGGAAAGGGGTCTGAGACAGCAACACCTCCAGCTGCAAGCGCGGCCGTGGGCTTCCACTGGCGCTTGCTTCCTAGCAGGATGCGCAGTTCTTCATCCACTGTCCATGCTCGTGGGCAGCCACGCCTTAATAACCCCGGCGAGCACCTGACTGTGCTTCCGAAGACGCTTCCAGAGAGGCCACACCAGCCCTGCAGTAATTACTGGTCGGCGACCTTGGCTCCATCAATGCAAGCGCCGGCTTCGTCGTCTGAGGCTGCGCTTGCAGACTCCACCAGGGAGGCAACGCGCGCGCCTGCATCGTCCGCGAATTCGGGACAAAGTCATGGCCAGCAGGAGCCGCACCAAACATGTGGCGCGCACGGTTGGCAAGCCACTTCGTCGCCGCCAAGGCACAGCACCCCATGCCAGGATGAATTTGTTCATCAGACACAGGGGCCCAGTTCAATTTAGTTGTCCACGCCCAGCTACCGTAGTGCGAAAGGTCGGATGCCCAGATCGGCGATCTCCACATCAGGTCTCTGCGCGAACCCAATGCGCAGCTGTTTCAGCCTAGCCCGACCCTCTGAGTAATCCCCAGGTCCAGCGACCAGAATTGCGCGATGCCCATGACTAGGGCTCGAGGTCCGAGACGGGGGCCTGGCGGGGGGGGGCGGCCAGGTTGCAGGTAGAAGGCGGCAACGTAGGAAGCCGACAACTCAACAATCGGAGTCCTAGAGATTGACACCAACACCAAGATCGGCGGTGTGCCTCCACCGAGGGAAGACGATCCCCATCTCGGTGATGGTGGTAATATTAGGGCTTCCAAGGTGACCGAAATATTCAACACCGAAATCTAAGATCATCATCTCCCTGTGGAGGCAAACCCCTGTGCTGGTGTTGGTGCCAATTTCCAGGCCTCCAAAACAAGGTTGGAACCCGGCCGCCTCGGGATGCATGGCCGATCGAACGGGGGCGTTGGTCGTGCCCCAATCCATTTATTTTTGCGCTGGCATAGTGGCCTTCGCAATCCCGAGCGACACCATGAAATTGTCGTTAGAGCTCTGGCCCCCCTGCCCAGCGAAACAGGCGGCCCGACGCTCGACGCGAATCAGCTCTGCGAACTTGTCGAGGAAACCGATGGCCCAGAGGAGGGCCGGGGAAAAGGTTGACATTCCATGCGAGAGCGAACTCGCCCATGAAGGCCTCGCCCGCCCCACCCACAGGACCGACGATATCTCAATGTGACTTCGCGATATCTTGTAGATCACACATGCTGCAGGGGCTCCCCACGCAGATGGGCTTTCCACTGGGCAGGAGAACGAGCGCATATATATATATATATATATACACTGTTCCTTTGGATTGTACGTTCTGATTGTAAGGGCGGAACAACCATGCTTTCAGATTCCGATGATCTGATTTGTCTTTAAAAATTCATCCAGAATCTGCGGATTTGTTCTAAAGAAATTATCTTTCAATGACTGTTTTTAATAGTTCAATCGAAATTTTCTGTGTTCTGGACGCCAGAGTCCGACCGCAGGCTTGCTGGGCGGCGCCCCTCCTCATCGTCCGCCACGACTGGGAGGCGCGGTTAAACGCCGACCAGGGCCGGTGGGCCACTCGCCTCCTGGACATCGACACGCCCACGCCGAGGGTCCTCCTCCTCCTCCTCCGGGAGCTCGGCATCCCGCAGCGCCTCTCCACGCTGACCTTCCGGGCGGCGGCGGCGCTGGCGGCCAGGATCGAGTCCACCGCGCCAGGATCCCAGCCCAGCCGGGTGGCGCTTGTCGCGGCGCCGACGGCCCCCGCGTGGATGTGGAGGCTGCGCGCCAACCTGGAGGAATGCGCCATGTCCCAGTATTCGGCGCGGTCCCTGCACAGGTACCAGGAGCCCGAACACGGGCCGGCGCGGGCGGGCAGGAAGTGGCGCATCCGCACGCACCTCACAGAGGCCGTCGACCCCCGGCTGGCAAAGGTCGAGTTAGGATGGCGCACGCGCGAGGCGGCCATCTACCCGTCGCGGGGCGACGGCACGGCGATCCAGGCGGCGACCACGACATCGGCCCGGGCGCGGGCGCAGCTGCGCCTCCAGGGCCGCCTCGCCGTGCGCACGACCGCTTCCCGAGCTTCGCGCCCGCGGCGCGGGGAGGTTATCTCCCGCGACGGGCTCCACCCTCTAGAGGGGTGCCGCCACGCCGAGGCGGCGGCCCGCGAGCTCGGGGCGCCGCAGCCAGGCCGCCCCGTCGCCGCCGCCGCCGGATGGCCCGCGCGCTGGGCCTGCGCCACCGGCAGGCGCGCCGCTGGCTGACCCGCGCGCTGGGCCGCCCCGCCGCCGCCCGCCTGGGGTCCCGGGGAAAAGATTCCGTGAGCGTCCAGTCCAGCGTCGGGGCAAAGTCGCAACCAAGTGGGCGACCCCTCGGCCCGGGCTGAGTCGCTGGCCGAGCCACGGAGCTTTTTTATAACATCGTTATTCCATGCGTTCGCCTGCCTGCCGGCGTGCGCACAGCGGCTCGACACGCTGGCCCCGCGCCAAGGAAAAGGAGGAGGAGGAGGAAGAGGAGGAGGAGGAAGAGGAGAAGGAAGAGGAGAAAGAAGAGGAGGAGGAAGAGGAGGAGGAGGAGGAGGAGGAGGAGCAGGGGGAGGAGGAGAGGGAAGATGATGATGAGGAGGATGGGGGCACTCGAGCGAAAGCGGGGGCGAAGTCGACGACGACGCAGACGGCGCAGACGGCGCCGGCGTCGCCGGGGCAGCGGCGCGCGCGGCCAGGGGGGCCTCTGCCGCTGGGCCGCCGCAGAGGCGCGGCCCCTGGAGAGCACCCCCCCCTCCTCCTGCTCCTCCTGCTCCTCCTGCCCCTCCTCCTCCTCCTGCTGCTGCCGCTCCTCCTCCTGCCCCTCCTCCTCCTCCCTGCTCCTCCTCCGCCTCCTCCTCCTCTCCTCCCCCTCCTCCTCCTCCTCCTCCTGCTCCTCCTGCTCCTCCTCCTCTTCCTCTCCTCCTCCTCCTGCTCCTCATCGGCCTCCGTGGGCCGCGGCGCGCCGCGCGCCGCGGGCCGGTCGGGCAGCGGAGCGCGCGCTGTACGGGCGCCGCGTGCTGTCCGAGGAGGAAAGGCATCGGCTACGCGTAGGGTGTCCGAGGAGTTTGGGGGGTTCGAACTTCGAGGTTCGAGGTGTTCGGGTGCTTTCGCGGGCTCTCGGCGGTTTTCCAGCCTCGGGATGCTTGCCAGCAGCTACGCCTCGCCGCGGGTGTTCCGGGGGTGCTCGGATCGTCCCGAACGGCCGCCGGCGACCCGAGTGACGGCACGGAAACCCAAATTCGGCGGCCAGCGAGGGGGGGGAACTGAGAAGGAGAAGGCTTTCTCAGAAGTTGGCGGGAATTCTCAAGAGCCCTCGCTCCTGCTGAGAAGTTTTTAGTTGTCTTCGGGGAAGGGTTAGAAAGCTGCTCTCAAGGCCGGGGGACTTTCGAGACTTCTGGCAGGGCAGGCCCCTTCCTACTTCCCCCCCGGGCGCGCCGCCTAGGAAGAATGGCATCGACTACACGTAAGAGTCTCGAAGAAAAAAGACGGCATAAGCACAAGCGTTTGGCGCTTCGCGCTGATTTCTTGGGTCCGCGCTGGCCCCCCCCCCTGGCGGCTCTGACGCCGCCCCTGGCGCGCGGAGCGCGCCAGGGAGGGGGTCCGGCGCAGATCCAAAAATCCGCGCGGAGCGCCAAAAGCTTATGTTTATGGCGTTTTTTTTTCTTCCAGGAAAGGCATCGATTGCAGGCTAGAGTGACCCTTCGCCAGAATGACCTCTGGTGCGTGCCCATTGGGCCCCCCCCGATCGCCGACCGCGATGCGATAGCAGCGGCCTGCGCGCTTGGTTTTGGCCCCCTCGCGGCCATCAAAAGACGCGCACCAAGGGTCACTCCTGCGTGTAGCCGAAGGGACCAATACCGCTACCCTGGGCTCGTGTTCGCCTTTGGGGGGCTTGCTGAGAGGCCCTCACCGCCACCGCTGGATTCGCCTCGAAATGTTTGTCAGAGCGCACCCCGGGAGAGGTCCGGGGAATAGCGGTATCTCAGCCACGCGCAGAGGGGGTAGTGGGAGGGGGAGGGTTCCGCAGAAACATCCCTGCTTCTTAGAGGGCGCGGGTCTCAGCTACAGATGTAGGGCCGGTTCCTTCTAAGAAGCAGCCGCCAAAAAGCCCCATCCCCAACCCCCTGTTCGCGCCGCCAACATAACTGGGGGGTGAAGGGTTGCAGTAGAGGGACCGTAAAGGATCCTTGTAGGGCCCCAGAGGTGCACGCAGGGTGCATCTGTCTTCGCCCCCCCCGCCCCCCCAGCTATCCCTCCAAATGCCGCAACGCCCAAGCTGCCGGCGTAATGGGCGGGCGACAAATCTAGGCCTCCCAGATGGTGTCCGAGTGAATGGGGTTGGAGGATCGCGCAACATCGCCGACGCATCGGCGATGCGGCTCGATGTGGAGCCCGATTTTCTCCACGCCGACGTCGCCGATGCGCCGCCGATGCAGTCATCGCCGATGCATCGGCGATGCGGCGTGATCCTCTGGCTCCGTCTACTCGGACACCATTGGGGAGGCCTCTGGATAGGGGGGGGAGGGTCGGGGGTGGCAGGAGAGGGGGCCTTTGGGGGCCTCCAGCTCCTGCCTCCTTTCGCCGAGGGGCTGGAGTCTTCTCCACTCCCCCGGCCGCCTCCATTCATCCAGTCGCTGTCGGGGGCGGCAAAGAGGGGGGTGATGACTGGGGGGGGGGGGGGGGAATATCATGGCCGGGGCCATGAAATTTCCCCAGATGTTATGGCGCCTCTTCTTGCTTCATTGCGCTCCTGGCCCCCCCGCTGGGCCGCGCACGTGCCGCCGGTCATGATTTGCACCCCCCCTCTTGGACACCCCCCTCTTGGCCGCTCCCGACGCTGCTATCGATTCGACGGCGGCGCGCTGACTCGCTCGCTCGCTCGCCCTTTCGCGCAGCGCTGCGCAGCGATCTCTCTCTCGTCCGCGCCGCCACGGCGGCTCGCACCGCGCGGCGGGCAGCGGGCGGGAGACGCGGGAGCCCCCGAGACCACCGGGGGGGCCCAGATCTCTCACTGGCCCGCGCGCTGTCGAGCAAAGAATCAGGAGGGAAAAAAACACACAGACACCATTGATCCTCGATTCCTCGGAAAATAGGGGAAAAGATTGGGAGTGGGGGGGAAGACGGAAACCCAGAAAGTATGGGAGACTATGGGGAATATTTTTATGTGTGTGTTTTTGTTGCGTGTCCTGGGGCCCCTTCAGTTTTCGAGCAAAGAAGTTCGTGCAGTTTGCTTTTTCACCGCTTGGTCCCGCTCAGTGCAATGAGAGAGCTTGCTAGGAAGTGGCAGCCACGAAGGAAGAGGGGAGGGAGGAAAGGGGGCCTCTCATGAGGACGAAGGGGGGATAGGGTAGGGAGAGCGGGCCACTCACATCGTCCGTGCCACTTGCGGCGTAGTACCGTGGATATAAGAATGTACATGTAACGCGCGTGTCCGTAGCGCTGTGGACGACTTTGCCTTGTTTGTAACGCTGGGGTCGATGTACGGTGTAAAGACGTATTTTAGTGCAGCATGTGTGGCGTGACAGCAAAGCAAATAATCAAGTTGGGTTTTCGGATATCAGTCGCACGCATGGGCCAGGTACCTAAGGGAGGGTGCTCACCACGTACGTGGTTCTGCGGCCCCTCCGTCGTCTCTGTAGGCCCACGCTTGCTGTGCGGAGGGAGCGGCGACGGTCAACCCGTGGCGTTGGAATATGATCCAGTGGATGACCCTGAATACTCGAAAGGTGGGGTGTGCTCGCAGAACACCCCCCCTCCCCCCTTCAAACGCAAGGTGAGATTTTCGATCCCCCCCCCCTCCCTCCCTTGAGGGGGGGGTGGGGTTCCGAACCCCCCCCTCCCTTGCAGAGGGGGGGGGGGGTCCGACCCCCCCCCCCATCCCCCCCTTGGCGTTGGAAAGGAGGGGGCGGGGCTTCGACCCCCCCCCCCTCCCCCCCCTTGCGCCGAACAGGAGGCCAGGGAGAGGGCCTCTCTCGCACGGGGGGGGGCGGGCCTCGGGATAGTGAGTAGTAAGTAGCGAATAGAGAGTAGTGAGTAGTGAGTCGTGAATAGTGAGTAGTAGCGAGTAGTGAGGAGTGAGGAGTGAGTAGTGAGCAGTGAGTAGTGAGTAGTGAGTAGTGAGTAGTGAATAGTGGGTAGTGGGGAGTGGGTAGTGAGTAGTGAGTAGCGAGTTGGGAGCAACGTGTAGTGAATAGTGAGTTGCGAATAGGGAAGTGTGAGTAGTGAGTACTGTGCAGGGAGTAGTCAGTAGTGAGTAGCGAGTAGGGAGTAGCCATTAATGATTAGTGAGTAGTGACTAGTGAGTAGTGAGTAGTGACTAGTGGGTAGTGAGAGATGGTTAGTGAGGAGGGGGGGGGTCCCCGACGACGGATCGGCAACGGGGGGGTGGGGGGCGGATCGGGGAAAGGGGAGGGGGCGGGGGTCCCCCCCGCCCCTAGGGGACATCCAGCGGCGCGCCCTCATTATGTTGTCTGGGCGCCGTTATCATCCAGTAGTTCGGTTCCATACTTTGATCCACCCGTCATCGTAACTAGGCTGATCGATGAGTTTCAGGCCGTCTGGACAATCATAGAAAGTATTTGCGCCTTCCACTTTCAATCTCGTAGCGGGAACGGTATCTCTTGCTCGTCGCGGGGTCCCCACGTCCTTGTTGTCAATCGTGACGTCCCAGGTAATATCGGCGTATGTGGTGTTTGTAAATTTTGATCAGTTTCTCGTGCAGATTTTGGGGCTAGTGTTTCGGCGCGGACTTGACGTCAGCGATCTTGAAATAGGTATTGTCCTCCGCTCCGTACGCAACTTCTCCCATCTTGTATTCACTTGTTCTCGTAAATCATGCCTGGTAGCCAGGCGCCTGTCTCCGCGAACGTTTGTTGTTGTACGCTGCCAGCGTCATCGGACCCATGATAATGGACCGGGTACGTGTAGGCTGTCATTGTGTAAACGCCTGCAGTTTAATCAGTGGTTCGAGCAGATGGGCTATAGTGATAACGGGATGTAGTGAATAATGCATTTGATGTAGTAATATCCAGTTGAACCGTAGGTAGGGGATGCAGACAGGCGGGCTAGTTGGTTAATTGGCAAGTAATGCGCTGGTCATGGCTTCCGCGTCCCCGCGGTAGTCTTGTGGTGTCGCAACCAGTATAGGTGTTTTTGGCTTTACCCCGAGACCAGAAGTACACACGGCCGCACATGGCGCACACGTGCGTGCAGGGGAGGGAGGGTGTGGTAGGAACCGT